CTGGAAATTATTTACTTATTTATTTATTTAATTTTTAAAATTTTACTTTTTTTTGAGATGGTGTCTCACTCTGTCAGTCACTCAGACTGGAGTGCAGGGGTGTAATTTTGGTTCACTACAACCTCTGCCTCCTGGGTTCAAGTGATTCTCCTGTCTCAGCCTCCTGAGTAGCTGGGATTACAGGTTCGGGCCACCACACCTGGCTAATTTTTGTATTTTTTAGTAGAGACCGTTCACCACGTTGCCCAGGCTGATCTCGAACTCCTGATCACAAATGATCTGCCTGCCTAAGCCTCTCAAAGTGCTGGGATTACAGGTGTGAGCCACTGCACCCAGGTCGCCCAGGAAAGAATTTAAAGGCTACCCAGTGGTACAAGAAGATGGCTTTATTGAAGTGGCAGTGTTACAGTTCTGGCAGTGTGACAACTCTGTGATTGCCCCTGCAGAGCAGGGCTAACCCACAGGCAATATGCTAAGAGTAGCAGCTTAGGGCACTTTTGCATTCATATTTATATCTATTTTTAATTATGTGCAGATTAAGGGGCGGTTAATGCCCAAAGTTAACCCTCCCCCTCCCCTCCCCTCCCCTCTCCTTCCCTTCTTCCCTTCCCTCCCTCCTCCCTTTCTTCCCCTCCCCTCTCCCCTCCTCTCCCCCTTCCTTCCTTCCCCTCCCCCTCCCCTCCCCTCCCCCCCCTCCTCTCCATCCCTTCCCTTTCCCTTCCTTCACTTTCTCTTTTTTCTTGGTCTTGCTCTGTTGCCCAGGCTGGAGTGCAGTGGTACAATCACGGCTCACTGTAGCCTCAACTTCCTGGGCTCAAGCAATCCTCCCGCCTCAGCCTCATGAGCAGCTGGGACTATGGGCATGTGCTACCACGCCCAGCTAATTTTTTTTGTTTCCTTAGAGGAAGGAGTCTTGCTACATTGCCTAAGCTGGTCTCGAACTTTTGGCCTCAAGCAATCCTCCCACTTCAGCCTCTGAAGGTACTGGGATTACAGGTGTGAACCATCCCACCTGGCCAACACTGGGTGATTTAAAATTTCTAGTTTCCCCTCACTCCCCTGTGCGCTGTGGTCCAGGGAAGCTGTAGCTGAGATAGGTCGAGGCTTCCCTTCCTCTTGTCCTTCTGGGTTGCCCTGCCCTTGGTTTCAGTGAAGGAGGATCTCTCCTTCTAAAAAAGTTCCTCTTGTAAACCTTTAAAAACTTGTTTTGCTAATTAACAAAAAGGATATTGCTGAGAAACCTGCTTCTCAAAAGTCAAAGATAGAAACTTAGCTGCATGAAATCAGTGAGAAAGGAACACATGCTTCTGCTTAGAGGATCGGTGTCTCTGACACAGAGATGCAGCCTTGATTTTCAACCCGTCAGAGCTTCAGATAAGGAGTTTTCCAATACCTTTATCGTTGCTTGGTATTTTCCAGGGAAACGGGACCTTGAGTAGTCTTCCTGGCCCCCACCTAACATTGGCCTCTCCACATATCCCTGCCTTGCGTTGAGCCTATCACACCCCTCTTCATCTAAATCCATGCTACCCTTGGCTCAAATTCAGTAACTGTGTCTCTTCTCTTGTACAAGGCCCCATGCTTCTTGCGGCGTGTGATCTCCCTTCCTGCAGCAAGATCCTCAGCCTAGTTTTGTTGGGCTAGAGTTCTGTGAGACAGGCTTTATCAGTATATTAGACTGAACCATTTCCATGGCTCAGACATCCTCAGAGGCAACAATATTGATCCCAAGTATGTGAAACTAGTTCTTGGGGAACAACAACTACAAAAAAAAAAACTCACAAGGGTTTGTATCCTCCTTTCTTTTCCTTCTTTTTTTGAGATGGAGTCTCTCTCTGTCACTCAGGCTGGAATGCAGTGGCTCATTCTCGGCTCACTGCAACCTCTGCCTCCTGGGCTCAAGCAAATCTCCTACCTCAGCCTCCCGAGTAGCTGGGATTACAGGCGCCCGCCACTACGCCCAGCTAATTTTTGCATTTTTAGTAGAGACAAAGTTTCACCATGTTGGCCAGGCTGGTCTCAAACTCCCGACCTCAAGCGATTCACCCACCCAAAGTGCTGGGATTATAGGCACGAGCCACAGCGTCCACCTGGTTTGTGTCTTTCTAAAGGATGTAACATACACAGATAGACAGTGTGTTGGTTGCATTGAAATTGCATAAGCAGGCAGAAGAATGGGCTGCTTAGGAAAGATGCATATCCAAAAAGGCTCCTGGAGGGGGCGAGGACATTAGAAGCTGAAGAGATCTTGCATTAGCTAAGATTGAGGAGCATCAGGTGCCCACTGTGAGTCACCTGTGCAATCACTGGCTCTAATTATCTTAATCTATATTTTTCAAGAGGGCTTTTTTACTGGAGAGAGGATGTACCCACACAGAGAGTCACCGCGCTTTGCATTTCCTTCTGTTTCTTATCACACCCTGTTTACATGTGTC